AAGTATTTTGAGCACTGTCAAAACACTTGTCATTTCTTGCTTGCCTATTTGATTGCGAATGACTTTATATTTATTTAGAGATCCGCAGTGCCAAGTAACTCTAGAAAGACTAAATAAGGTCACTTTTATGTTGCCCAGTCTCTGCTAAAATAATAATAATAATTAATAATAATAATAATTCTTTGCCATGTCACACTTTTGGTAATAGTGACTAGATCAGTCACAATAAAACTGAAAAGCCTCCAAGATAAATTCACCTGAAGCAGCACCTTTGTGGGTTTTCTTTTTCCCTCGAGGAACGGAGCACATGAGAGGAGCAGCTTTGCCATCATTGGACTGGATGAGGCCTGTGTTTGATGTAATTACTTTCTCCTGACAAAGATATATGTGCACTTTGGACATCATAAAAATACAAAACCACTCTAACCACAGCAGAAAGGCTACTGCAGAAATAATAGTGGCCTATAAAAAGATGGTAAGATAAGACTAGATCAGTGGTAAGGATGAGAAAATTAAATACTTTAAAATGGAAACAACTAAAAGTTTTATGACATTGTTGGCAAAATGGTTGTATTGCATAATAATATATTACCCTCCAATTTCAATGGAAATTTTTAATTTCACTATAAGATTTTATTTTACAATTTTTAATGACTTCCCTGATTTCTAAAATTGATATTACTGTGGGTGAAATCTGAATCCTCTGAAATCAGTGTTTTTTATTGTATTGATTTACACAATTCAGTATTTCATGTACTGAAATTTTATCAAGTTTAAGTTTTTTTTTCCTGTTAACTAAGGAGCAAAGCTGTAGATAGTCGTATAAAGTCATATAAAGGCTTAGGCCAGGGGATGGGAAGGGTTTGCACTGARCTTGTACATGGCATTATTTTGCAAAAGCTCTGCTTGATGTTAGTTCCTAAGGAAATATTTCCTAGAAGTTGAAGTGGGATTTTGAAAACAGCGGCTGAATGTTTCCTATAACAGTGAGATAAAATTCAGTTCTAATTTATAAAGTCCTTTAAGATTTTCAGTGATGAAAGATCCTGGGTCAATATAAAATAAAATCTATTTTTGAAATAAATTACAGTATTTTTCTAGAATTTATCTGTTATTTTTCAAAGCTTAATTGGGAAGTGTTTGCCTTTCTTTTTGAATCATACCATAAAGTTACCAACATTTTCAGTTATTTTTCACTTAAACAGTTGGCACAAAAAACTTGTGCATGTTTTTTTGAGAATAATAATTACTACTAATATTTTTTCTTTGGACCTCTGTGCAGCAGAGCGCCCAYGCACCTAGCATTAGGTGGTTGAAAAGTCCCCTTGAGGACAGACGTTTAAGTATTTTCCTGAATCACAGCCCAGGAGCTGTGTGTGTAATTGGGCAATGGCACCAAACCCACAGGAGAGCATTTCTATGGAGTTTACTGTCTTACAAGGCACCTTTCCCRATTAACTGAAACAAGTTTTTTGGTCAGAGTCAAGTACTGGTCATTGCTGAACAGGGAGAACAGGCTGTGAATGCGTATTCATTGCAGAAGGGGGAAAAAAATCAGGCCACATATGAGTTTATTACCTGCAAGAAATGTTTTTCCAGCCGTTATTATTCCTGAAGCTGTTTCAGGGACACTACAGTAATTTCTTACAAGGAGACATTAAAAAAAAAACCCAAAACCTTTGTCTGCTGGTTGTRAAACAAAGAAGAGAAAACTTCAAATCCCAGACCTGACTCCATAAAAATATGTTTTAATTCAGCTGGCATAGAAATTTTGATTAAAGAATATGCTATACAATTTCTTGTGCAGTGTCTATAGCCCTGACTGTGTAAAAGCATCTCATGCCCTTGGAGAAACAACCTCCTCTTATCACGTATAAAAGGGAGCCTTTTACTCAACATCTTCACAGCTTAGTTTCTTTCTCTTTCTTCAGGCAAGGTTTTTCAATTTCAGCCCTCAATTTCATTTAACGTAAGGGTACGGACGCTGCAGATGATGTATGGAAAGGCTGTGTCCGCATGTCCTGCTCCTGGAGTCTTCTCTGGACATCTCCCAGTGCCTGCAGCCGTGGCCAGGCTCCTGGGCTGGTGGCACCTCTGGCAGGAGGGCCGTGTTATGCAGGAACTATAACACGTGGGAGCAGCCAGGTCTGCGGGGCATCGCCCAAGGGTGCTCATCAACCACCATCAGCTGCAAAGAAAGAAATTCCTTATCCTGAGCTCCTTCCCTGAGAAGGTAACTGTTCTAAAATATGCAGAGCAATGCACTTTCTGAGAGCTATGAATGGGCCGTCCTAGAGCTCTCCCTTTGTATGAAAATAGGATAATATCCACACTGAGCTTTTAAAGCAATCATTCCTGCATATGCCATTCATCTCATTAAACTTCAGCTTTTTTTTTTATTTGGTGGATAAATGTGAAATTATTTTGCTGTCTAACATGATCTACTCCTAGCTACAACCCAGCTCTCTGAAATGYTTTGTATATAATTATAGTTTGCATCATCCATTTGGATAACATGCAGCCCTGCTTTCCAAATCTGTGTAGATGATAATCTGCCTGAATACATGCACAATTCAATTAAATATGTTTTGTGCACTGTTCATTACGTGCCAAATAGGGTAGGAGAGTAAAAATACTTAGCAAGGGAATCAGACTTCATATAAATCTAAATTAGATAAGCCTTGTAATATAAGTGAGGGAGGAGGAGGAGGAGGTGAAATTTAGTATTTAATTCCCTCATCCGTGGGGAGATTAAAAAAAATGGCTTCCAGGAACAGAAATGTGGGCCGTGGTTGTGGAGCCCTGGCACATGTTGCTGAGCAGTTGCTCACTGGAATGATCCCACTGAAGCCTGGATAGCTCTTCCAGGGTGGCTGAAAGGATGCAGTTTCTTGCAAGGAGCTTTGATGCTTTGTCTAATCCAGAATGTAAGAAATGGATCCTGAAACCTCCTAGTGGGATTGGACTTCTGGCTCCTCCTTGTTGTTTCTGAACACCGTTATAAAAATGTAGGGTAGGAGGCTGTAAATCACTAAACTGCCTGACTTGTAAAACAAACTAAAGTTCTGGTTTAGCTTATGGGTTCTGTAGGAGAGACCAGGTTCTATCTTAAAACCTGTACATAGCCTCTACTTCAGACTGCACAAGTTTTGTCCTTCACATTAAGACTACTTAGAATAAAATTCACCTGGCAAGCCTCCGTTTTTCCCTTCTTCCCTAAGCCTCACGTAGATAACGTGCAGCTGCGTTGGGAAAACTCACGTTGACAATGGCTGAAGTGTTGTATACCCCCCAAATAAAATCTGTAATTAAGCATTCATACAGAATAATAAACTAGTCAACGTAGTACAAAATAGGTAAGTATAAGGATGAAGTTCTGCTCCACAGAAATTGTTGAAATTCTAAATATATATTGAACAAGTGTTGCTAAAATTATTTGGTATAAACATTGTGCAAAAAGGACCATTTCCAGAGGGAAGATAGATTAATTCACTCTAGTGAATTAGTTTTCTTGATTGCAGGTTCCTGGAGATAGTTCTGTCTTAGAAACTGTAATATATCCTTTGTTCATTTGTTTTCTTCCTGCTGAAAAAAATAGAAATTTCTTCCTCTTATCTTATTTAGAATTGGTGCTAAAATATGCCACACTAAATATTAACTTGGGGGGGCAGCAGGTTGCCAAGCCAAAATAAATAACTATTTAAAGTCCATTCCTCTCAAAAGGGCTCATTATGTGCMTGTAATGTTCTATTCTACTGGAGAAGGATTTTCCAGGTAATGCATGACAATGGCAGCCAGGTAATCCTGCTACTGCTCCAGGCTGATCTCTAGGTTTTCAGCCAGGGTTTGTGAATTATAATAGGAGTTCACCACCTGTTTGCCTGGCCAGTCCTTTCTTTTCCTTCCTTATTTCTCCATTCCTGCTCCCCAAAACTGCCTTTCATGTCCTACAGTTCCTTGCAATATCTTATTGTTTTGTCCAGATAGTTCTCCAGTTCTTCTTGTCCAGATCTTCCCCCCTTACACACATCATCAGATAGCTCCTTATTCTTCCCTGCTCTGCTTTTTCTCAGTTTTGTCAGTGCAAGAGAGCCCTTGGTTATTTACCTGCTCTCGAGCCTTCCAGAACATTACATATCAAGTCTTTAACATAAGGAGTTCATAATGGCTGACCTAGGGATAAATGGAGATCCATCAACCCTAATACCCTCTTTCTGACAACTGTCCATACCAGTTGTGTAGAGAAGCATACAGAATTATTATAGACATAGGAATATTTCAGACATTTCRTGACATTTCTCCACAATAATCTCTGTCTTTAGCTTGTGGCTTTGGGTCTTTGTAGCCAGATGTACACTCTTTTATCCTCAATATCAGGATACCAATGCCAGTTTCTTTTCATCCATACGTTTATCCAATTATCTTATTACCCCAGGTTTTCTTTGCATCCAGAACAGCACAACTCAATAGATAATCTTTGCATTCAACAGAAATATGTCCTTCTTCTTTGTTTTGAATTTGACATCTGCTCATTTTATTGATTTCTTTCATTTTTCTACAGTCAGACAGCAACTCTTCATCAACTTCTCTATGCCACTTGTGATTTTTAAACCTCAGTCACTTCCTTCTTAGCTCAGCCCTTTTTCAGGATGAAGAAGCTTAGGCTATTTAAATAACCTTGATGCAAAAGCTACTTCATATCTTTGATCATTCAGAAAAAAAAATCTTCCTCTCCCTCCATTTGCAAATGGAAGAACCACAATTGCACACTGTATTTGTGGTGTGGGAGAAGCATAAATTTGTACACTTATAATCTATCTGTTTTCTTCTCTGTTACTTTTCTAATAATTCTAACTTCCTTTTTTTTTTTGGCAGGTATTGAAATTTGAATTTACATTTTCATGGAACTGTCATAAGCTGCAGATCTTCCTACTGAGCAGGGAGATTCAGAGCTAATCACACAGGTTTTAGAATGTTCTTCACTCTCCCTGTAGCTATGTGACATCAACTGGAATTTTTATTGCCCACTCACAACGTCTTTATGCAAAAGTTCACACTTAGCACTTGAAATTGCTGCATTGCTAAAGGTGAGTGATATCTCATCTGATATTTGATGTTATCTGATAAATGCTAATGGCCAAGAGCAGACCCCTCAGAAGAAGGGGCTGGAAATGCAGCAGAGAACAATTGCAGGGAAAGTTCTCTTTACATCCCTATCAATTGCTTTTGTTTCCTGGAATGCTAAATACATTCAGCCTGTAATTTTCTGTGCAACTGAGTATACTTCTGGATATCTTCTTATCCTACCCCTTTCAATGTTTTTGACCCCTAGATGGGTCAAAAAAGATGGCATGCAGGGAGAATTTTAGGAAGGCTGGCAGATTTACTGTGTGGGCACTTATGACTAAAGGAGAAAATTATACTATGAGATACTGTGCCTACGTTGCTGGTTCTTGCCAGAGCTGGGACACTGAATGGGCAGTAAGTTAATGGTACTTTTCTATTGACCTAAAACCTGCCTGCTAACAACAGCTGGCATCAAAATCCTGCTGCAGTTGTCCTGCTAGAGCCAGTATTACTCATATAACAATTTTTGTGGAACAGAGACAGAGATGCCAAGGGGCACAAGAGGCAACCAGAAGTTAAACAGAAGTCTGTCAAAAATAAATAAATAAATAAATAAATAAATAAATAAATAAATAAATAAATAAATAAAACCAGAAAAGCCATCTCAGAATCATCAGCCAAGTCGCACTCCTTGTTTTCAGAGTGGTCATAGTAATATGGAATAATAATAATATGGAATAATTTAATAGGGCAGGTGTCTAAAGTGACCAGCAAGTAAAGGTCTAGCCAGATGGTCTGATGGTCTTATAATGTTCATGATAAGGAGGCCGGTAAAGCTCCCCAAAATTKTAACTGGAGGACTAGGATCAGCAGCCTGAATCCAAATTACATTAAAGACATTTAAAAACTAATCYTTAGCTTTCTGCCCCTTTCCTTTCATTTTTATCAAGGATTTTCTATCTTTGATCAACTGTTCTAAAGTAATTTTTGTCTCCATTTGACTTCAAGAGCTGTCAGTCAAAGGATGAAGGAGCAGACTCACAGATGGTGGGTCGGAAATTCAGCCCCATGGCAGTGTGTGGGTTCAGCCTCACAGGCTGCTCTACCTGCTTGTGCCAGGCCTGAATTTGATCGTCRGTTGACTGGTCCACTACCTTTCCAGCTGTCATTATCCACTTGGAGCAGGACAGTAAACAAAGCACCTGCTGAGCTGTAGGCCATGACTAAGGCATGCTTCAGTTTTTTTAGAGRTATCAAAAACTCAGATTTACAGGAAAGTTCAAAGCACAGCCAAGAGCGTGGTTTGAGATTCCAAAGACATTTTGTTTACTTTCCCAAAGATGAGAAGCAATAAACACCATGAGGAAGCTAGGGCAGGATGTTGGTTTCTTTGACACCGGAGGAAACAACAGGCCACAAACTGTGTCTTGGCATCCAAGTCCAAATCCCATTTCGTTTCAGCTAATGAGGAGGAGAGCTGAACCACCAGAAGGTGACCCCAAGCCCAAAGAGTGGTGCTGGGACAGAGTTCAGCTCCAGGAGCAGCCAAATCACTTGCCCGCGGGTCTCCTCACCCAAACCACAGCTGGCAGCTCACCCCTCTTACCTCTCCTCATGGGTGAGAAAGTTCAAGTGCCTGCCTCTCCACATCAGGGATTCACACTCACTTCATTAACTCTTTGAACTCAAGTCATAATCACTCAGAGCCTGATTGTGCAGATCCTCTACTGACTCATATACATGTACAGGAGTTGTCCTGCTGACAAAAGTAGGTTGCTAGTACAAGCATGTTTTATTTAGAGTGAGAGGTGCAGAGCCTTTCCTTTTTAAAGAACATTTCTCCTTCCCTTCCCTTCCCTTCCCTTCCCTTCCCTTCCCTTCCCTTCCCTTCCCTTCCCTTCCCTTCCCTTCCCTTCATTGAATCTGAATTTCTTTCACTTCCTGAAAAATAAGGACTCTGTCCATTGTTCATCCTTGCATGTGTGACACAGATTAGTTTTCAGGGGAAAACTTGCTTCTGAGGAGCTTGGTCATCTTTCTTCCACTTTGTAGCTGTGGATATCTTTCTCGCCACTAAGAGAGATTGCATGTTGCTGGCTTAAATTCAGACTTCTAGAATTCTCAAAAAAATGCAAGTAGCCATCTTTATTCAATATTCTCAACAAATTCCTGCAAAGCCTTTCATAACTGAAAATGTTATTATTTTTCAAAGGCATGAGGGGAAACAATGTTAGATTTTGGAGATACTCAGAAAATCTGTTTATAGTATGTCAGCCTTAAGAAGGGAAACTCTGGAGGGCTGTGTGACTATGTCTCTCAAAACATAAGTTCTGTTGGTTACTTTAGTTTCAATATTTGATTCACTTTCCTTCAACATTATTTTTAATGCCACTATAAATAACACTTACAGTAGCTATACTATAGTATACTATAGTAGCCAGAATTTGATAATTAAAGTTAAATGTACCAGAAGTCTTTCAAAGGATTGAGAAATTTTATTACAGGCATATTTTGCATCCTACATAGCTGTTTGCACCAATGCAAATAAGATGTTAAATACTGTGAAACCAAAAGCCATTTTAATGCACTCCTGCTAGGCAMTGATGTTGCATAAGATGCAAAGTAACATAGCATTCAAGCCCTTACATTTACCAGAAATGAGCAAATATTGGAGTTTAAGTGAGCGAAGGATAACAACAGAAACGATGTCATACCTTGTTTTTTTGTGAAGGAACAAGAGTCCTGACGCTGCAGCTCATGGCTCAGACTTCCCCACTCTCCAAATGAGAGTGACCTTCCATCACTGCTCGTGTGAGCTGGATTTGACCCAGTGACCTGCCAGCTGAAAGGCCGAACATTTCCTTTTATTTGGTTTGTCATTGCTAATAGATATTCTTTTCTGTTCTATTCAGACTCTTATATGTTACCCACCACTGTGTCATTTGAACGCTTTCCGAGGACACAGAAAATAACATGGCTAGCATGTCATTTGCAGTATTGCTATCTCGTCATGTACTTAGACATTTCTAAAGGTTAATGGTTTTATGCTTTTTATTTTTCTTCATTTGTTTGTGTGTGTGTTTTTTTTCTTGTTTTCATAATGAAAGTGGATTATGGACCTTGTCAAACATACATACCAGTTCAAATGACATCCAAAGCATTGGCTCTGGTTCTTGGAAAGATTTCTGTGTTGCACAAAAGACATTATATCTTGTTATAGAGGGATCCTTCATGCCAGAGTAACTCGATAGTCAAGCGCATTCCTTGTCTCTGCAAATTTTTAGGCTATTTAATGGGAGCAGGAATCTGAAAAGAAGCTCTATAGGAAATCAGTGCAGTGAGTGGTCAGGTTTAATGTTTTCACAACAATTTCCTTAGGCTGTCATTTTCTTGACAAATAGGCTTGAAGCCCTGTGATTTTTCATATGTGCAATACTAGTCACAACTAGTATATTTTACACAGCCTGTATATTTCTCATGCATGGCTCAAAATTAGTGCCCAGCTCTGTCCATTCAATTGCACTGAGGACCRTGAGTTTAACTCAGCTTAGAATTTAGCCCTGAAACTTTTGTGCTGTCTCCACCAATATGAGGATAATGGACTGAAATTATGTGTATGGGCTGTTATTGCATATTTAGAGAAAATATATTTGTTGCTYATCAGAATGAGTGTTAGCGTCTGGATAAATTCACAGCGGAATAACAATAACCGATAGAATCTTCTACTGGAATTAGTATCTGAGCAGTTTAATGTTAGTTAAAGGTCTGTGGTACAATGACTCCATTTGCATGTAATTATGCAAAGGGCAGTGACATTCAGGACATTCAGCGACACATGGGCATGTCCATGCTGTGCTATGGAGTGCCATGTCTCGGTAGAAATGTTCCGTGGAGCCCACGGAAAAAGCTAAGCTTGTGGCCCCACCTCTATCTGGCTCTCTCAAAACAGAGATGGGCAAGAAATGCTGCACTTTGAGCATGGGTGGGTCTGGCTGCACTTCAGGCCATGATGCACTGAGCTCACTGCTGACAGCTTGTTTTGAGGCTGGGTAGTGATGGAGATAATCCAAACAGGGGCAGTAGCAAGCTGGAGGTGTATATACATATAATGCAAAATTGATGAATATCTATCCTGTAGTCMTGTCTTCCTGGTGGATGAAACAACCCCTGTTCCATCCAGCAGCCTTTTAAGTGGTTGACAGTAGGTGCCCAGCACTATCACGTTATCAGCAAATCCCGTGAGACTGAATTTTCAGTCCTGTTAGACTGATGTTATATTCTGCATGTATTTTCCAGGCTAGATTTTGTTCATTTCTTTTGGAAAGGGAATATTAAAGAATAAAATCAATAATGATAATCATTTTCAAAGCAATCTCTAGCCAACATAGAGAAATAAACCATCTTGCACTGGTCCTGGATGCTCTTTGCATCTGCCCAGAAATGCAAGACAGCAGCTGCCTTGGAGCTGCCCCCACAGCAGGATAAGAGATTCATCTCCATTTAAAGATTCAGTGCACAGAAAATGGAATGACGACATCTCCTTTTTTTTTTCCATGCCCAGCCACTTGCACTCCAACAGACAGAGATGAATGCTCTACAGTATCTCTTTATTTTTCTTTATCTGTTTTCCTCCTCTCTCTTTCTTTCTAAAGTCTTTCCCTGAGCTTTATTTTTTCTTATGTTTTATTTGATAGTTAGGTTTTCCAGTGACCAAATCCTTTTTGCTCCCTCATCAGAGCCTTCATTGCATTATATTCATTAGGAAGAGCTGATACTGTTATCTCCCAAAGGCCCTGCAAGCCTGACATCATAGGTTACCTTGAGAGCATCCTAACATATAAATCCATGACATAGCCTTTTCTGCTCCGTTCAGCAATAGATGATGATTACCCAATTTTGCTAGACACCAGCAGCTGCTAGGGGGATCAGAATGGCCTTCCATCTTTCCCAATATGCAGACATTATGTGATGATTGTTATTGTCTATTATATTATGGTAACAATTGGCACTCTAAGAGCCTGATCTTTTCTGCCCAGGCACAGAAGATGGTTTCTCTGCCAGACTTCTAACAGACTGAACATAAGAGACACCAGACAAACCCAGCAAGTGACCCAAATATCAGAAAAATTATTATTGTTGCAATAAGTCACTTCAGTGCCTTGTTATAGTTTCTGCATGATCTGTCTTTCCAAATGCAGCAGGACAAAATCCTTTGCTTGATTTTAGCTTGTGCGGAGACCAACTCTCCATCTGTCAGATCTACCTTCTCCTTATATCTCAGTATCTAATTCAAGACTGGTGAATATTGCAACATGTGCCTCCCTGAAAAGATATATTTTCTTGAAACAACAAAACTGTTATTTTTTAGCTCATGCTGATTATCTGTTTTCCCCTCAGTAGAATTTTGAAACAGAAAGCAGCCATGTCCCTGGACAGTGATGTGTACTGCTCTTCTCCAGTGGTTTCAGATATCTCCTTTGTACTGCAATCCTGAACTGTGTAGACTTTGGACAACACTACTGGCATCCTGCTAGTCCTGCAGAGGTATTTATGGATAAGCTGCCAAAGAATATCTTACTGTGTTAATGTAATGGCGTGTACATTTGCTTGACTTGATCTCACATAATCCATCAAAATCTTCATGAATAGAAAAGGTTGAATTAGTCTTACTAATAGAAATTCCATTTGGACTGTTGTTTCCCTGATGAATCACTCATTTCACTGCTGAGAAATTCATACTCCTTTGTTTTACAAGGCACCTGGTAAAAATGCTCTTCCTGGTAAAGTAAAGGTTGAAAAACAGTAGTTAGAAAGAGGGAGCTGTGCTTGATGTTTGCTTTTGGCTTGGTGTTTGTATCACACCTCCTGCTTTATTACGGGAAGCAGGAAAGAGTAAAGACCAGGGAAGGTGGGGAGAAAAAAATGAGGGAACACTTTAAAGGGTGTGAAGCTGATCATCATCTAAACACACGTTGTTTGAGGAGAGACTGTTTATTCAGTCTTCAGTTTTTCAGAAGGAAAAGATAAAACTCAGGAATACATGTTTCAAAGGTGGCCCTAAGCTCAAAGCCAGATTTGAGCATTCCCAAGCTGTGAGACACAGTAAGTGAACGAACGTTTCTTGCCATACGGACAGGTAAACACAGGAGCAGGGCTGTGGGGAGAGGCTGCAGGATAAATCGAGCCTGTGAAGAGCTGCTTTGACAAACATCTGTCAGGAAGCGCTTAGCTTTGGAGGAGCGAGTTGGATCAGATCACATCTTCCAGCCCCTCTTGTGCTTCTCTGCTAGCAAGACTCTAGAGATCGTACCTTCGTTTGCAATTAGGAGAAGCCAATTACCATTGCTCTCCTAAACTCCTGTGGACATGTCTGTATTCCTCACTTTATCCCTACCCTTAAACTGGCTGCTGCTGTGTTTCCTGGCAGAAAAGGGTCTGTTTTGGTAGTAAAAACAAAGTAGTTCCTGCCAACAGTGAGTGTTTATCACAAGGTAATGCAAGCCAGTCTGTAAACACATCCAGTGGAGAGAGCGGCTCCAGTGGCTATCGGTGAGGATTTTTCAATGTGAGATGAGAAGGCTTCAGGGAGCCTCCCTGATAACGTTAAGGTTAATGCTGGGGCACGGCCCAGCCCTGGGCAGCCTCAGCAGCCCAGCCCATGCATCGTGATCCCACAGAACACCTAGACCATGGACATCGCCTTTCCCCGGCTGAGAAGGGCACAACTGCTGGAGCTGAAAACACTGCTAAAAGTGACAAACGCTCCCTCCTCGCACTCACGCACCCAGGCTTTAGGAAATACTTGAATCATGCTAACTCAGATAAGTAATGGTCGAAGAAATGGAGCTCAGGTCTGAATGAGAGTCAGACCACTTCTGAAGGAAAATGTCTGCATAAAAATTTAGTGTTAAATAATAGACTGCCAGTTTTTTACTTCCCTTCCCTCAAGTTATCTGCTTTTGGTTTTCCTCAGTGTACCTATGGAGACATGGCCTCTCAGATCTCAGCCCAGAAGTCAGATGCAAAAAAAAAAGCAGCTTTAAGAGCCTTTTCTGTTCTAGATCCGGAGAAATTCCCAATATCCTTGTAGGTCAGTGGGATTTGCATCAATCTTCCTGGTTTCCCTTGTGGGCTCCTCAGCAGCTCTGTGCCCTGCAGTGTTTGGTGGGAGATGCCCTGGGGCCGGCTCACGGATGCTGCAGCGGGACCTGAGCAGAGCATCCTGCCCTTGCTGCCAYCAGGGTTTTCCAGGCCCTTTTGCGTTTCTCCATCCCTCTTCCCCTGCAGGAAGCGACTGACGAGGGGGTGAGAATCCCACCCCTGGGTTACATCCCCAGCTGTGCCTTTGACCTGCCAGGTGACAAAGGAGGCTCCGACTGGAGGGCTCAGCCTCGGCCCATCTGTCATTCAAACCAAAGCGATGCAGATGGTTTTTAAAGCATAACCGGGTGGCGATATTAATCTCCAATTATCACAGCACTCCATTCAGGCCCTTGTTTCGCCCCGCGCGCCACAGGCGCTTCCCGTGGCTGCCTGTTTCCGCTGGCATCCTTTGTGCCGCGGGAGAGCGGCCGGGCAAGCGCCGCACGTCCTGCACRGAGCCGGCACAAAGGGGCTCGGGCCCGCGAGGCCGCGCGACCCACTGTGATGCAAATGTCGTCTGCCTCCCCTCTCCCGCTCGCCTTTTGTTCAGTAATTTTGTTCGGGGTGATTTTGTTCGGGATGGTGACACCGCATGGTGCAGGCACCGTCCCTCTCCAAGAGCAAGCAGCTGCGCACGCTGCTGCTCCCACAGGGAAGTAACTTAACTCACCCACACACACGTGTTTACAAAGTGCGAGCTGAAAGAGCAGGAGAATGGCAAATTTTTGATGGTTTGGTTTATTTTACTGCTCAGAACTGCGAACTTGGGTCTTGCTGTGCCAGATGCCTCGCAGCCTGCATTCCAGCGTGAGCTCCACACCTAACTGCGTGCCATCCACTCCCGGGATTGCATTTTCCCTGGGTCTGGGAAGCTATCGCATTAGCAGTCAACTTCTCACGACTGAAATCTACTCTTTCCCTTCTTTCCTGTTGTTTCCGCACTATCCCTATCTTCTTCTCGCATGGCTTTCATGTTTTGCTTGGTCTTCCCTAGGAAAAAAGAAAAAAAACAATGTTATTTTTCCATGAAAATGCTGCCTSAGGAAAAAGAGCAGGGCTTCTGCTGCTTTTGTAGTGATTTACCTAACTATTCATCGCGACTGAACAAAAGTTGGCCTTTTTTGAGCAGATAGATTTTTCATATATGACGACCTTTTTAATACTCGACTATTGTGCTTCTCAATATCATTTTAAAGCCAGTTAGGGTAGCTTTGCTGGCTGKTTTTTTTTCAGAAAATAAAGAATCAGTGCTGAGAAGAAGAGATTATATTTCTAATCAGATTTTTTTTCTGATTTTTTTCTGATTTTTTAAAGAAATTAAATTAGCTCATTGTCTTCTGTAGTAGTCATATTTTACTACTCTAACTAGACTAAGGCTTAAAATGCTTGGAATAAGTTACTCGATTAAATTACTGCTTAGTAGAATATGTGGGGTAGTGACGGTTTCTCTGCTCTGGGTTTGCACAGCATGACGAGATCCTCTCCATGCTTYGGAACATGAAGAGTCTAGTGCTCATGTTATGCGTCTGTGCCTGTATACCCTAATAAGACCTCAGTTTTGTGGCTTTTTCACTTCTGTCTTTTTCTTTCCTTTTTCCCAGGTTCTCACAGGTCACCCAGTGACCAGCACTGCACACAGCATCACTGGTGGAAAGTCCTACCATGGCACCTCCTTGGTTATGGGGAAGGCAGCCGTGTCTGGGCAGAAAGCAGGCGCTTCAGAAGTGGGTCTGAGGTTGTTTTGATACTCAGCTGACTTCCTTTTTGCTACTGATCTCTGAGGAAGGCATCATCTGCTGCGAGTGCAGCCCTCATCCTGCTCTGCCTAACCACTTAAGAAAATTTCTCTCCAAGAGTAGGAAGATTCATGTGAAAGTTTCTCTGAAGTGGGAACAAGAGTGACCCTTTAGCATGGCCCTCAGTCRTCTTTGTAGACCCCACACAAGTGTGAAGATTTCCAAGCATGTTCAACCGTTTCTCTATTACTCCCTGCAATGTCTTATTTATGACCTTTCCCCTGAGAGAAAGGTCCAGTTGTGGCTCATTCGGTCTCTCAAGACTCCCACTAAGGGGAAGAATAGCAGCTTTCAATAGCAGCTTTACTGATCTGCATAGAAAATTCAGGCTCCTTTTTTTGCTGACCCTACCAGCTTGCTACATACAGCTGTAAAACTTTATGCTAGTAATCCAGAAAGGCAGCTGGAATTATCAGTTGTAGGCTGTCAAATGTCATGTTCATACCACATTGGATTAAATGATAATAGAGTAAATCTTTTAGTAAGTTATTTAAAACACATTGAAATGGAAGCTTTTGTGAAACAAGTGCATAGGCATTTACAGCAGCAGAGCAAAAGCAGATACTGAATTTAGAAGCCAAGTTTTTATTGGYGTTTCAACAAGTCTGTCCTGGTAGTATTGCACAAAATGCATGACCTTGGATCCCAGTGAAAGATCACTGGGGCCTTCACACCGAAACAGAGCTTACTGAAGAGCTGCTACTTCGGGATCCCCTACTGTGGGCACCTTTCTCACTCTTTCTTTTGCTGCATAGTCCTGCCATGCACAGCTGTTAGAGGAACAGGGACTGAACATGGCCATCTAGATGATTGAGTCCAGCCCCCTATAATCACATTCAGATATTCCATCAATGTCCAGCCACAAAACACTCGCCACTCCCTATAATAAATTGCAAATCTATTGGCAACAGAACCAAACTCTCTGTTTTATATTGCAGAGTTTCATCACTGTTTTCAGTTTTCATTGGAAGGGTTGCTGTTATAATCACCAGATGATCTCAGAGTCACACCACAGTAYCCTACCGAAGAAGATAACATTCAGTCATCCCCACCAATCTGATTTTAGGGAAAATTACCAGCAGCCCAAACGTGACAAGCAAGCAACTGTCTCTGCATGCATTTAAGACCGCTGAGAGGCTTTTATTTCAATAGTTTCCCCAAAGTAGCCCGTTCAGCCTCTGGCTGTGTCCTAACTCTGATGTTTCAAAAGGAGCCCCAGAGAAGCTAGAAGTCATGTTCCTGCACTGCAAGGAAATAAAACTTTCCAGGTCCCTGTGAAGGCTAGGAAAAATCTGAGGCTTGAGAGTGTGCGTAAGTGGTGCAAATGAACGTGTTCAAGAAGCCTGGTCTTCTCCTGCTGGGGTGATCCAAGAAAAGGGCCGATATCACAAGAATAAATTTCTGATATTAGGCTCACACAAGCTATATTCATAAAGCTATAAATTTGCATTTTCAAAACTAATTAAATCCTTTTCTCTCCCAGCCAATTCATAATTCAGCTCACCATCAATTTGAAAATATACTCCATAGTAAGTGAGTCTGTTTTGCCTTTGGTTTATTATAATATTAAGCAGTAGCTACCCTACTAGCARAATAAATGAGAGAATGAATGAGAGAGAGACAGGGGACCCTTTCACCAAGTTTTTCAAAATGTGCTGTGGGCCTGAGTGGCAATAGGTACCCACCTGGTTAACCTGAATAGAAATAGRCTGTTACCTCTTTTGTGAAGGGATCTGCTTCTATAAATGTCCAGCCACAAAACACTAGCCACTAAAGAGGCATTTGTGCTAGAAGATCTTAGAGGTGGCCGAGTTTACAGGGGAGGGTCTGCATTGAGGGGCATGTGTCTTAAAAGCTGCACATCTGTTRTTATTCACAAGCACCATGAAAACAGTGCCTCGTGGAGCTCGGAAGTGGGACTCTGTCTCTGACTGAGAAGATGCAAGCCAAGCCGTCTTCTAGACTTGACGTGAGTCACCTTCGTGAGAATTTGTAACCTGCACACACAGGAGTTGAGAAACAGCCAGATTTGTTGGACGTATTCATGAACAGTTTTATTTAAATGATTCTCTTTTGTTGCCACTGAGCATGTTGCTTGTGTAGCAGGAAGAGACATACTTTGACAAATGCAGATACACATACTTCTGCCTTTTGAATGTCTTTAAAACAGCTTATATGTTTAAAAATATCAGACTTTTAATATACAGTAGCCCAATGTAATTACATTACAAAGTTATAATGTGCCATGTCTCTAGAAAGGTTGCAAAATCTGTGGAGGAATATTTTTCATCAGCTTAATATTATGCATGAGACAAAGTTCAATTTGAGCTATTTCCTCAGTAAATGTTAATAAAGGATGAAAGATTCCAGTGTTTACATAATAACTTACAGCTGGTGAGGAGCTATTTTAGCCCGTGCATACATTAAGTTTACAGTTACTGTCTCCAAATACCTGTGGTCTAGCCACTTTCTTCGCTCTGTTAGCTGCTGTGTTGGAATAACTCCCCGTGCTCTGGCGTGCAGCACAGAGCTACGCYGGGCACTTGTGGGGAAGCAGGCGACGGTGACGAGCTGGGCTCGTGTGGAGATGCTGTCTTGGCCCTCTGGCACCCACCACCCTCTTGGGGACCCAATATGGGCTGTTTTTTCCCCAGAGCTTGTCCCTGGACTCGGGTGGTGGGAGCACACCCCTTGGGATGCCTGGTGGGCAGGGCTGGGTTCCACCTGCATCCCTCTTTGCCGAGCATCCCAAGGGCAGGTCCAGCTCTTCCCATGTGGGCCCATGCTCACCCTGCCCGGGCAGGCAAGGACAAGGAGAGGTGGCACCTGAATAACAGGAGGTAAAATATTTTAAAGCTGTTTAATATATTAACTTCTCTGTGGGCCATGCATAATCCTTGTTTCCTTCTTCTTTACCCTCCAGCTGACACTGGGGCGCTTGCAGATCCTGAAATGAGTGCAACCTGGCACTGGGCATTTGGTTATTCAATTATGTTATTTTCGGCAGAAAAGTATTTTCATTCTGTTGGGTCACTGCTTCTAAAATTGCTCTAGGTCTTCAATATCTAATTTAAAATTTAACATTTAAGTTAGTCTACTTCCCAAGATGGAATAAATATTTATCGAATCTGTTTAACGAGCCCCATAGATTAGTTTATAWGCTCATTGCTGCCATTTTTTCCCCCTGATTTTGTTTTTAGTTCATTCACTATTCATTCAGGCTAGGATTTCACTGAGACTTTTTTTGATCCCATTCTTTTAATGAGTACTGGAATCAGCCTATGAAACCATGATAGAAGGTAAATCTCTTTTAAACAACAACAAAAAAAATCATATAGCTAAGTTATCTGCTGCCTCTGCTGGGGTTAGTAGGGTTGTTATGCTTTTGTGTACGAATTGCTTTGGGATAATAATGTTTTCTACTTGCTTATACATTTTTCATCAGACAAATCAGGCAAAAAGGTTGTATCACACAGATCTGTTAGTGCAGCTGCTTTCCTGTCCTGTAGCTGGAAGGGAAAGATGAGATACAGTTTCATACTTGGAGAAAAAGGGTCAGAGTTAGAGAGAGAAAACGTATGAAAGTGCAAAGCCTTGGATATGCGCAGCGAGCCCCTAGAGCAGGTGCTAACAAGACCTTCTTGACAACCACTGAGTTTTGTGCGTAGCAGAGGAAAAGTTACAGTTGAAAGCAAAGAAACAGGCAAGAAATAGCATTGTACTGTATCTGACGAGGATTATAGTAGCTGAATGAGTCATTGTTATAAAATATGGGTAGTAGAGTGTCCTTTCATGTCTCTCAACACAGATTGAATGCAGTCCTGACCGAGATGACAAAATTCATTTTGATTGAATAGTTGTCCATATTTTTAAATGAAATGCATGTGGGGCTATTAGCTCCGTTCCCTGTTGAAGGCGGCTGCACCATAGCCCTGCCATATGTTTGGCAGCCTTTGAAGCACCTGGCATCCTTGAGAACAGAGATTCACATTTGAATGGGGATAAATATTAAACCAGCTCACAATTTTCTCTACCAACTCCAGGCTAGGTATTTTTTATATATTAAAAAAATACATAATAGAATACAGAAGGTTAAGCAAAAAAAAWATATATATATAACATATATAAAGTGTTTTATAAAAACATAAAGTGAGAGGAGGATGTGGCTGGCAGGGATCCAGGGCTCCTCCTGTGTTTAAGGAGGACAGTATGGGCAGAGACATGAAGTTCTTTGTCTGAAAGGGACACTAGGCTTTAGGATCCCAAAAATACACATAAAAACTTGCCCCGCTATTGCTGATCTACCAGATTATTTTGAAAGCTTGTGTACAGCCTCTCCATCTGGACCAAATCACTCCCCCAAGTCACAGCTCTCTCAGATTTATTCTCTTTAATAGCATTAACAAACAGGTATGGTTAGGTGCATAGTATTAAATTAAAGGGAAAGGAAGGTCAGTTATGGTTTTTGTTGGAAAACTAGGTGAGTTTCTTTCTTACACTTTTCTGTTGAACAAGGTTTAAGTCTTTAGTGACTCGCAAGTCTGAATTTCAACCCAATAGGAATATGTCCGTGAAGCAGAGGACACTTCCTGGGCTCCTCCTAGGCTAAAGTTTTTGAAGTGTTTGTTACCGAGGACCTACAGCATGTTTATGACTAAAGCAAAAGCTCCTGACATGATTACACAAGGCACTGTTAGGGCAGATTTGGCTACGTCTACCACTGACAGTTGAATTCAGACTGGAATAGATGAAAACAAGGACTAGGACAACAACCGGGAGATGGAAAACGCACCATATGACAGAAGTTAAAGGGGTTACTTTGGTGCAACAAAAGGAAGTCCTAGAGAGGTGC